AATGCTTGAAGGCTGAGATACCAACTCTGAGATACCAACTTTATTGGAATGACCTAAAGTTGAGATAACAAGAAGACGGATGAGAAACAACATCTAGATGAGAACTAAGAACGGAAAAACCCAGGTGCTGAACACAGACTTAAAAATCCCTATAATAAAAGTGGGATTCAACAATTCTGAGATGGGGAATCCACTCTGCAATCTCCTGGAGCACAGGAGCATCTGTTCACCCCCACTCCCATCACCCTCAATGAGCCTGGGCTGGCCACCCAGTGCTAACATCGAGCAACCTCTGCTGGTAACTATAACATCTTACTGGAGTGGTTTTGTCTGTATGCTTGTGTGTGTCTGTTTGCATGACTGGTGTGTCCAAACTTATGTATCTGCTTCATGTAATCAATAAACACGATATTTTGCCTTATTCTCTTTTATAAGGTTTTGCTCTTGATTTTAGCAATTGGTAACACTTTAATATTCACATTTAATAATGGCTTTAGTTTTGAGGTTGGCAGCTGGAACACACTAGTATTATTCTGAAATGGTTATGAATTGAGAATTAAAAAAAAAATGTACTTAAAATAAAATAATCTGCATTTGGATGCATTTGGGTATACCAAGGTTAGGGATATCTTTTGTAACAGAAAGCCTGTAAACTTTAGGATACCAAACTATGTGAGACAGAGCAATTTGGCTCTGATCAAGCAAAGCTACTGAATACATACTTGTTACTAGGCCTGTGCGAAATGGGCTGTATTCAATTTGGATTTGGATTCGGCCTGAATCAGGGACAGTGATTCAATTAGTTGATTCAGATCACTGTCCTGATTCAATACAGCCAAATCCAAATCTGAAGATATGATGCTGATTCAGAGAATCAGCGATTTGGCCATAGACAGCTTTAAATGTTTTTTTTATATACATCAAGGCACCAGGCATGGCTCATGAACACTGCAATGGTGGGGTGGATAGAGCATCCCACAGGAACATTATAATTCCGGTCCACTTCCGGGTCCACTACTGAGCATGCAGGGGGCCCCCCCCCACGTCCCCCCAGCTCAGTGATCAGCCACGGAGGGACCCTGGGAGCACCCTCAGACCCAGGAGGCACCAGTCACCAAGCCAGGGCACAGGGGCCCTGCTCCCTGGCGGACTCAGAAGTGGACTGAAAGTGCTTTTGGTCCACTTCCGGGTCTGCTGCTGTGTGTGCTGGGAATCCTCCCATGCTCCTGTTGGACGCTCCCTCTGCCCCACCATCTCAGCATTCATGAGCTGCCTGGTACCTTGAGGTATGTAGAAAAATCATTTACATCTGTGTCTATGTCCAAATCATTGAATCTTTCCAAATCTCTCCAAATCAATTTGGAGAAATTAAAAGGTCTCCTGATATGATTTGGTTTTGGAGATTCAGCCACTGAATCGGGTCGAATCTCTGCCAAATTGAATCAGCGACTGCTTCACGCAGCCTTACTTAATACTAAGCATGTTTTTATCCCATCGACTTCAGCTGGGACTATACATGCCCCTGTACATATTTACCTACAGTTAATCTTTTTCTGAAGTGTTTTTTTGAATCCAGGGCAAGAGCGCTCTGAATTTTGCAGGATTGAGCCCACAGTGTGTAAAAAAAAATGAGAAAGGCATACAACGTGCCATGGATAAAACTATAACAAAACCCATTGTTACAACAGATTCCAATGACCTGAATAAGGTCTCAGGAAATGCACAAAAACTTCTGGGTAATCTAGTGTTGAGATAACTGCGGGGGGAACAACCAATGGGCTATATATTTAATGCTCGGGTCAGGTCCTGGAGACCCTCCTGATCCTCAGTACAGACTTCAAACCCTGCTGACGGCATTCCCTCATTATAGACAACTAGGTGGCTTTGCCAAAGCCAACTGGCTCAGCTAAGCAGCCAGAGTCACCTAGGGGCAATTTGGACCTGGGTGGGAATGGCGATAAAATGTTCTTTGGACTCATTTTAAAATCCATAGGACTAGAGCTGCAGAAGCTTTCTAAATCCAGGGAATTTAATAACAAAACATCAGATAGGCTAGAAGGCCAGGTTCTTTTATTTTGTAGGATGCATCTTATGGATGAAAAAATGGTTCAGTCAATGAAATTATTTATATATTTAAGTGTCTTCAGGATCAGGGCCTTAACGCATACGGCATCCTACATAGGTATATAACTCTAAGTGGCTTCATTAACATTGATGGGACTAGTTAGGACAGTGGCTACAGTATGAGGCATTCATTTAGAATCTGATTGTACCAACTTTATTCATGATGAACAGCCAAAGGCGTTTTCCTTGAAACTTTAAAATCTTTAAACTTCAGTCTTCAGGGATGACTTGAGTACCAAATAAAAATGTTTCAGAAAGCTATGACTATGTTAAAACCAGACATTTTAATGACGACTGTTTTGCAACCTTTTCTATAAGGAAGCACAGGTTTCCACTGTAACACACATTTTGACATAATGAATACTCAACAGAGCTCTGACAGGTTATCGTCTAATATCTTCATCTATAAAAATAATCATAGCAGTGAGGGTTAGGCTGTGTAATTACTCACAGTAGGAATTTGTACTACCCCAAGGAGTGACAGAAATCAAGTCTTTGGTTTGAAAGGTCTCTGTTCCTCAGAGAGTCCTTCAAGGTGAATGTGCAGGCTGCATTATTTGTTGGATGGTTTAGCTTGCTGTCCACTGGTTGCTCAACCAGCTCATCAGACCAAAAGGAGTGGCACTGATATGGGGCTGTGCTTCCTCTCCCCAGTGCAGCTGAGGTGACCTGTGTTGCAAGAAGATTAACAGCTCCTGCTGTTCTCCTAAGCCTTTGTGTAGAGAGTCAAGGGCTGGGGGAAACAGTCCTCTTCATACAATTTTACTAAGTCCAGGCACAATTCCCTATAAGTTAAAATATATACTATAGTTTCCAATTCATTTTGAACTATTAGTAAAAGCAGTTTGCCTCTGCTGTGTTTCCAAAGTTCGTTTACATGGTACCCGACGCTTTATGGAAGCACTTGATAAAGTTCTGCAACTTTAGGATTCCAAGGCACACTGAGGGGAACTCTTGTTTCCAAGTCCTCGCAAGAGGCTCTCTTACAATGTCACAAGCTTGACAAAGACATAAAATAAGAGTTGGCAAGCTGGTCAATTGACTGCATATTTTTGACTGGTCAAAGATTATAGCAATTTTACAAGAAAACTACATTTTTTGTAGTTTTCTTGACAGAACTATGATTTTGAAATTGTTTTTTTGACATATTTCTTAATGAAAAATTTGTGCTTTCTTTTTCTGTGTATTATTTGGACCTGTTGGCAATTTTAAAAATAATTTTTACCAATATGTGACTGGTTAATTGAGTGACTTTTATTTGACTGGTCAAATACCCAACCCTACATAAATTTCTCACAAATATGTTTTTAAAACATGAAGTGTACTGAAATTAACAGTTTCAAACACAAGCTACATTTCCAACACCCACTTCATCAAGCAAGTTACCCTGAAATGGCCTGTTGCTATGGAAGCTATATAACCCTCTCTTCTCAAAATAAGAGGGTGAAGAATATCGAGTCAATCGAGTGATCCAAGTGGTTGAATATCCATTAGTGATTAAAAACACAAATCTCCAAATAATTTAAAAACTGGTTAAGTAATGAAAACACATTCATCTAATCATTTATCATAATTTGTGGGGTAAATTAATCAGTTGCTGGACTCATTTATGCCACTTGAGAATGATGTAGTATTTTGCTTTGAATTAAATTAGTCTCTTCTCCTCAGTTTCATTGCCCTATTGTGAAAGCACTGCAAATTTGCTATTATTTAGTAAGCAATAGTTTAACAAGTTGAAAATAGGGACACTGTCCTCATTTCTAGAGAGTTAGGAACTAGTTCCAAGGAGTCACAAAAAATCTATTTGTCACAGTTAAGGGCTAGGAGCAGCCCATCCTCATTTTAAACTTCTAGACATGAATAAAAGGAGCCAAGCCCTAGCTTTCATTTACTTTGAAAGAGTAAGATTCTCAGCCATTTCATTTAGATATCATAAAAATAGATGCCTGTAGTACTTGCTGCTGAAAAGTGAAATCTATACATATTTGGTCTGCACTGGGATCAATATGTTTCATTGGACTAAGCCACATCAGGTTATGTTCAGTCATTTGATATATGATGTGTCTGAGCCCTAAACAACAGAATTATTTTTTCTTGCAGGGTCTCATAAGGCACCCAAAACAGAAGTACTGCCATCTGTTCCTACCACAACCAATGTTACCCTTCTTCTTACTGTCCTTTAATTGCTAAATAATATTAGCTATTGCAACACAATCGGTCAGGCCTCCTTCCCGTCATCAAGGAGAGAGGCTAAAGAAATGGGGCTACAGAAAAGCAATTCCTATTTCTAAAGATAAAGCATATCACCTCAGCAATGCGCCTGATCTTTTTTCTACTTGGGGATCAGGTTTACAGCTACCTCTTTACAAACTTGTGCCTCTTGCACGGTAGTACAATGCCCCTTGATACAGAATTGGCCTACCTCAATCAATGCAAGAACCTTGCCTCCCCTATTTATATTTTACAAGGCAATTAAAATAAGATAATCCCTTATGCATTAAGAATATTTTTTCATTACCCATGTATAAGCAGGTAGTAGATATTTTGCTACTGGCACTTTTATATGCCTATTATATGTAAAAATGTCAAAAATATTTATTGTGAGATCATATAAAAAGCCACAGAATACATAAAAAAAGATTCAAGTTGACAACCAAAATTAAATAATAAATTTATGTTTTTTTCTTTTTTTCTTCTTTTTAAAAACAGGCTCCTTAATTTCAGCTAGATATGCAAACGATTCATTTTAAAATACTGTTACAGGTTTAGAGGTGTCTTTTTTAGCAAGATAAACATTTATGGACGTTTGTAAAAAAAATGTATGAAAAAAGGTCAACAGAGTGAAATCTGGAAAACATGACATAATATGAACGTACCTTTTGTGGCCACCCTGACACAGTCAATTTTGGTTTCCTGTGTTAAAGAAAGAGGCAAAAGGTCATTCCTTGTATTTCTGAACAAAGAAGGTCATCTGTGGTTCTGTTTTTTAAAGTATTGATAACATCTGAAGAAAATGTCCATTTGGTATGTTTAATTAGAGATTTAACAATTTCCTAAGCAACTGTAATATAGTTTGATACTGTGGCTAAGTGAACTCCAATAAACTTGGTCACATAACATAAATACTTCACTAAACATTCCTTTATATGTTGAAATAACTGTATACAAAACGATGCGTGTTTTTTTTCTTTGGCAGCTCACTGACCTTGGCAGATTTTTCTTTTTCTTACAGATATATAAGTACAGTAAGCACCAGACTAGACAATTTAAGAAAGACTTGGGGGGGGGGGGGGGGAAAAAAAAAAAAA